AGTATTTCACCAATTTTTAGCATATCGTGTTCGAGTTAATGGCGTTAAGCGCTGCTTGGCTATCTGAAAAGATATAGGTATAAGTTTACAAGTCAATCGTAAACGAAACTAGACAAATATATTATGGCACCACCTCTGCCTGGAATATAGTAGCGTGTTTTCAGAGTCGTATCATGCACAGAACTTAAATTTAATATTTATCTCCCTAGCATTATTCAATATAAACTACTAATTTATCGGAGCTTAATCATCTAGATCAGGCCTGGGCAAATGGTGGGCCGGATTTGGCTCGCGGTAGAATTTTGTCTGGCCCATGAAGCATTGTATATATTATTATTAAAAACACAAATATTAGTTTTTGTCTAACATAAATTGGTGCATAAAAATGTTAGATAAAATATTAAGCAATACTTATACACATTATCAGGGCCAGTGGGAGCCAAAATTTTCTCCCAGACAACCGCTCTTTTCAGCGCCTCCTAATCGAAAATATAATTATGTTAATTGAACAATTTGATAATTATCTAATAATAATGTTTAAAATATTTTCTTTTAATTTTTTTTATTCAAATGACTTGATCAATAAATATTTTGATTCAAAAATGTTATTTATTTATTTAATGTGATAAAAACGACAAAAAGCAATTACATTTATCACACATTTACATTTTTAAGTTTCACACATTTTAAATGGATGTCATAATATATCATAAAACGTCAATATTAATATAATATACATAGGGTAAGCATTTCAAATAAATATTATATGTTTAAACAAAAATTAATGTCAAGCACTATCCTCATTGTCAGTGCAACCAGTATTGCTCCATTGATCGGTCAGACTTTCACAATAACATAATAATGCTGACTTGATGGTAGACCAACTGTCAAAAGAAAAGTCAAATTCAGTGTTGGCGTCCCGGAGTGCATTGAGGTTACGCAATGATCTAACCAAAGGTGACATCGCATGCGCCACGATGTGACTTGAAGCAAATCGGGAAAGAGATTATGTTGCCGAGGGGGACCATGCCTGCGTTCCGGTGGAAGCCCACGTTTGTCCGGGACAAACTGAATACACAAACGATTGTGCAAGTGGAGGCAATCAACAGATCCTTTAAGCTTTTTCACACCTAAGGATCGGTTAGTTGGTCGACGAGTCTTCTCACCTCGAGGGAATTGAAACCGAGATGACCGAGTAAAAATTTTGTCGGGTAACGAAATGGATAACAGCCGTAGGATTTTTTGTAGAGAAACCTTAAAAAGGCCTTCTGTACCTTCTCAAGCATTCGCACATATGTGACCTGATGAGGGTTCCAGACACACGCACTCGATTCAAGCTTGCTCCTAACTAATGACGCATAAAGAATTTCCACAACTTTTGGATTCTGAAAATTCCTGGCATGTCGCAAAACGAAACCCAGACGACGGTAACACTCTTTTGTTAAACAAAATATATGATCGTGAAAATTCAAGTTACGATCGAACGTCACCCCTAAATCTTTAATACAGTTGATCGCCCTATTAATGGGCAAGTTGTTCATTTTATAATTAAAATGTATTGGTCTTCTTTTACGATCAAAGGTTTTTATTACATTACATTTACTATGATTAAATTGCATTTAATTTATTAAGCTCCATTCTTGAATTTTGTCAAATCTAAGGCAGTCATCAAACGATTTAATGTTAAAAAACAGCTTCAAGTAGTCAGCATACAGAAGACACTTAGCCGCAGCCAATACCTTGGGTAGATCATGAATCATAATAAGAAAGAAAAGCAGGCCGATCACAGAGCCCTGATTGACACCAGATCTAGTAGGGTACTCCGCGGATATATAAGATCCGTGCTTTACATATCGGCAACGATCTCTTAAGTAGTCAGAGAAAAAAGCTAGGAGATTGGGAGCAAACCCAATGGCAGCAAGCTTTTGCAATAGTATGTCATTGTCAACTCTGTCAAAGGCTTTCTGAAAGTCAAAGTATATTACGTCAACATGCAGCCCACTGTCCATGGCGTCAGAAATATAGTTTACCAAACATAGCAGATTTGTATTAACAGACCGACCCGGTCTGAAACCATGCTGCTCATCGCCTATCATCTGTTTAATCTGTCTATATATCTCCTTGTGCAAAATGTACTCGAAAACTTTTGCAGGTGCGCATAAAATTGCTATTGGGCGATATTCATCAACAAGGTTCCTATTTCCACTCTTAGGAATGGGTGTCACCTTTGACAACTTCCATTGAGTAGGATATGTAGCCATTCTGAGAGAGAGGTGCATTATATGATAGAGAGGAAGTATCAAATATTTTTTGCTATCCTTAAGAATAAAACTAGGCACGTAATCAGGGCCGAGCGAACCACTTGACTTTAGTCTATTCAAACCACATTCAATGTCTTGGGGTGATAGTGAAGAAAGGTTCACGCAACAACCCTGCGCAACCTCTTCCCGGCATGCATTTTGGGCATTAAGCTGTGCAGTTTAATCTAAGAACACACTAGCAAAGTAATCAGCAAAAGCTTCAGCAGCCTCAACTTCTAGAAATGTCTCCGTTGCGGCCACGAGCAGGTGATCTGAAGCCAACAGGCTTGTATACCAGGAGGTTATTTTTGTTTTCAGCCCTCTAACGTTCTGATAGAAGATGTTGATTTGCATAGATGCGACGGTATCATTACGGGGACGGCATCGGCCTGCTGGATGGCTGCTCACGAAAGAGCTGAGATCTATTTGGAGAATCAACTGATATATTGTTATTCATATACTTTTTTGGTCTTTTGAAGTTCCCCAGGCTTTGATTCTGGCGTTCACAGGTCACACGTCTGTCGAGCAGCAAGTATCATAGTAAATAATAGGCCATTGGGACAAAGCTAGTGAATATAATCACGAACCTCCTCGATGCCGGATTCTATGTTCCAAAGATGTATGTGTTTGCGTACCTCAACGGCTTTTAGTGCTGTCACTGAGGCGACTGCAGTGCCACACTAGAAGGTCGGGCCTCGACTTTTCCCTCAGACTTTAGGCAGATGTTGTGTATCTTTCACTTCAGTATCAACTATGGTAAAGCCTGCATTTTGTCGCTTGATAAGGTACTTTGGATTATACGACCCGACTGCGGCTTAGGAGTAGGAGAAGGCTGTGTAACAAAGTTCCTCTTATTTTAATTTTGCTTCGGGGGTCTGCAGTTTTAGGTGCTTTTTTGCAGATGTTTTGTTTGATCCTACATGAAAATGCTTCAATAATGATTGCATTGATGCAACTGGCTGAGCTGCTACCGTTGGATGTTGATCAATTTCGTATTTGTTGTGTAGTTGAGCTTGGAGTGATTTAACTTCAGAGACAAAGTTTGCTATTTTTGTTTCATAGTGGGTTATACAAGTTTGATGGTTGACCATTTTAGAATCATAACTCCTTAATCTTACATCTACCATCTACAAGCTAGTTGATTCTTTAACAGGACTACATCTTGACGCAATTCACGCAACTCAGAAATCAGTTCCTGCTAAAATTGTTTGTTGGTGTTTCACAGCTGATCACATTTGGCTTCTTCCTATGCGTAACATTTGGGTCGTTTCGCCTTTTGGCTGTCCCAACAGGCGTCATGTTGTTGTCCCCACCTCTCTTGGACGTGCAATAGCATTCAGGGCATATCCAAAATTCAGGGACACAATCTGTGCATAATAAATGGTATTTTTTTCTACATTTCTCTGTGGTGCAGCATAAATAATCCTCTTCTTTGCCATTACAAGTATGACAAGCAGCACAGCTCATGGTGCAGATATTCTATGGACTAATCTCCGTACAAAAATATTTTGCCACAAAATTGGAATATGTGTCATCTATGGCAACACTACCGAAAAAGTCAATTTCAATTATGATGTTGTCATTTGAGTTTGACATTAAATTATGTAACTTTGGAGGTATTTCTTAATCAACTAGTGACAGCTTCAAATTATATAAGTAATGGTGTCGATTCTAGCATGATTCTCTAAACCTAAACTTAAATTTGACAGCAGTATATCCTTGTCATTCTCAATACAGAATGAAAAGGAGAGACTGGTATTAAATTTAGTTTTAAGTTTAGAGAATCACGCCAGAATTGGCACCAATGTGGGTATAAAAAGATAATTTAATTGTGTTGATTTCTAATGTATATCGGTGAAAATAAACCTGGATAACAGCACTACGTCACATTCCAGAAAGACAATTCACTTAACAAGCACTTATGTATATGTTTCTTGGATAATATTATTAATATGAATAAATTAGTACTAGGGAGACTTGTTATGGTAAGGGAGGCAGTGTTGGTTGGTTTTAAATTTCTGTATGTTGGTTTTAAAATTCATTAATTCACATTCTTAGCAAAAACTATACTTAAAATTAGAAAAAAACTGTTTGGCTAAGGGTAAATTTTCATCTGCAATGTGGCCCGACTATCAAAATATTTGCCCACCCCTGATCTGTGTTTGTATATTACCTATACCTCAAATAAGCTTGTAAGGACGGAGCAAATTCCTCTGTACAAAAAACCAATAATTCCTTTTTTATGTTTAGTAGAGTTGGTGGAAAAATAAAAGCAGTCTTTATTTTTTCAATGGGTAGCGGCTGTGTATGTAAATTACCACTGGTCTAGGTACCTGTTGCTGTAATCTAGAATCAGTCTACACTGTTTGGTGTATGACAGAATACATTGACCAATAAGCTACCGAGACCTTAATAATATATTGTGCCTTATCCACATTAACAAAGAAACGGAACCCGTTTCTCACCCATGTCCTATGCATGTGTCCATTTATGGACGTTTCGTAGGCTGCAAGGCAGCAATCATCTTAAATACGATTTAAATCCAAGGAAAAGGCTTTGTTTTGGTTGTTATCCAACTATGACCATTTCAGACTATTCTCCAACATCTTATTTTGCTATAAAAGGCTGTTTATGCAAACCCTCAAACAAAACAGTTATGAAAATGTTACTATTATTTTGCCATAAGTAATATTTACTTACATTTGTAAATTTTCCCCAATTGCAGTAATTTCCCTATGTACTCCACTGCCTTTAAGCTCTTTGTCCACATTTAAAACTTCTTGCACTAGGGTAGCTGTTTCAGATGAAGAGAAAGGAACATTCAAACTTCTAGAAAGAGAAATTCAGTAATATTAAAAATCTCTGAAGATACCTATAAACTTATAATATTACACTACGATTTTCCAAATTTTGAGTTGTTTACCTACTTACACAGATTTATTACTATTGGTATCTACCATGGTGTTATGATAGGTACATAAAGTGAATTAAAATATAGATTTTATCTAATATTTATTTACTCCGATTACCATTGATATTCGCCGGAATCGGGAATTTTGACATGACCAGTGTTGCCAGAGCCTGCACGGTAAAAGGTGATTAAAGGTGTTGTTAGCTTAAAATGTTGTCATTCGAAAAATGAGGCTGTATGGGCATTGTTCCCTTTGCTTTCCTTGAAAAGTAGAGAAGAAATATAAAAAAAAATCAACAAATATTCAAATAATGGTGCCAATTCTGGCATGATTCTCTAAACTTAAAACTAAATTAAACTAACTGATGTTAAAGGAGATGTTCTGTATTGGGCTATAGTAACTAACTTGCATATATTAAATGTAATTAATTAGAGGGCCCTAAAAGTAACTTATTTCTGCAAGTCATTTAATTTTCGAGATGACCGTTTTTTATAAATTCGTAATTTAGTTTCATGAAAATGAAATTGCGTTTAACGGTATAATGACACATTTTCTTGCAAAAAATGATCAACAATCAAATAAAAAATCTATGAATACACATATTTGAATAAAATAACCTAATATTCTTTTATTTCGAGTAGTTTTAACTAACGAAGTCTAGGGAGTTAGGCACTGCAAGTAACTAAATTCATGTGATCTAAAGCCAGCAAAAAAAAATGACAACTGACAGGTGACAAACAAATCTTTACCTACTGGCTGTCAGTGTCATTCGTCATAGTTTTGAATTTAAGAATATGTGCATACCGTACATACTTGGTACATAATAATTTATATAAGCGCACATATATTAATATGTGCGCTTAGAAATAAACCCATGTTACACGCATTTATTTTCATCAATGCATTTATATCAATTAGATACATATCTAATTAGGAAAATGACCTGTTTACATTAGGTATTAAAATTATTTTTCAAGGAATGAAAAGTCTGTAGGTGTTTATTTTTACCGTGCTTAATGAACTCATAATGCAAAGCTTATTTGATAAAAAAGAGAGATATCTAGGATAATTATCTAATACCAAGAATATTAATACAATACAACAATATGAAAGGACATAGAAATATTTATTTGATAATAAGTAGATACATTAAAATAAAAACACTTTATTTTCTGATTTGTTTTCAAGTAATATTTAATAGTCAAGAAAGTGTGCAGGTGGTGATATATCATTTCGATGCCGAGCCCAACTAACATACCAGACCATAGTCATCACATGAGCACAGCTTCCAACTGTTCTCTTACCAATTATACAGCTGCAATAATGTCCACAAATACAATCTTGCCAATCAATGGCCCGTACTTTTAACAATATATTTGTGTATTACACTCTATTGCTCTGGTGCCGTGACTTAATTAGGGACAAGAAAAAAGTATCGATACTTTATGGTATCGAGTACTTTTCCTTTCGATACCGATACTTTTGTACTCGATACTTTGTATTCGATACTTTTACTAAATGAGTACTTTTCGGCAAGTATCGATACCTTTAAAATTTTGGATAAGCGCCTCATATTGATGGCAACGCCATCTTGTTAAATCATAGCAAACCTTCTAAAACGTTCCATAGGGTATTTGACAAGTTTTAGGCAACGATCTCACGTTATTGACTAATGTTTATGGAGTCCGTAAAAAGTGGATATTCATCATTCTGTCGTGTATTTCAGTAAAAATAACCAAATCAAAAACTCAATTTTTAAGTTGCCGCGAAAACGTTTCTCTGGGCAATATGGCGTCTTACTAGTGTGTGACGTCACACGACTGTTATTGAAACGTCAAACGATACAATGTAATGTCACTTTGACCGGAAGTTTACTTGCGTGTGACGTCCTTTTAGGCTCCGCCAATCAAAAAGCGTTTTGGGTTACGTGACAATAGATAACAAAACTAATATCTTTTTCGTTATTTTGGCACTTTATTTTTAAAACTGTCAAATGCCCTATTGCGTTGTTATAAAGTCAGTAACTGACATATTCAAATTCTTTCCAATCTGTGACTGTGTTTATTTTGCAGTTTGTTTTGTTTCATAGTTATTTATTTAGCGACCATATTGTTAGGAACTGTGATTGATTCGCCGTTTATTGTGCTTTTCGCTTGACTGTATTTGATTTATTCAAGTGTAACACTATTATTCTGTCTGTGCTGTGTATACCTATTTGAAACCACCTGAAAAAAGATGGACGTAACCTCTTCTATAATTATAATCTTGAGTGAAGCATGCCATTGGCAGCCGTTAACTACGTATCAGATTCAAGTTAACATAAGTGGGTATAATGTTTTTTAATGATTAAACTTCAAGAAAAGTAAGTTTAATTTGAAACAAATCTGAAAAGTTTCATACTTTTAAATTGTTTAAGATTTCGATCTTTTTAATTAACATTGTACCTAATTATGAATGTAATATTAATGAACACTTTTTTAGTGTCAGAAATCACAGCTATTTTTTCATTACATAATATAGCAATTTGTGAATTTACGTGTCCTTTTTTGTTTTTGATTATACGTACTATAATAAAATTCGATTGTTTTTCTTTCTATTTTAACACTGAGGGGGGGGGGGGGGAGAGGGAGGTTGCTCATCAGGCCACAGAGGCTCCGATAAGGCCCTATGAAATGTACTCGATACTTTGAAGTATTGATACTTTTGTTTCGATACTTTTACGAGTACGATACTTTTTTACCGATACTACTCATGAGTACAGTATCGATACTTTCTATTCGATATCGTGTCCCTAGACTTAATTCTTCCACACATACGAGAGAGCAGAAAATTCAACTCAACGAAAAATGCTTGACAGTGACAACCACTAGCCATAGCCACAGATTAGTACAAAAACATGTTTATAGTGCTGCCATTAGTAAAATTTTTCTTTTATCAAAGTAATACGTTTTATTTATTTAAAAATAATTGGGAATAGCTAAAATAATTTGTGCATTGGTTTTATACTTCATATTTTTATGGCTTTTAATTAAATATAATTTGGTGTTCGTTAGTTTACTCTTATAACAAAAAACCAAGCTCTTTGTAAAAAGAGGACATCTCCTTTAGTTTTTAGTTTAGAGAATCACCCTAGAATCGACACAATGATGTCGATTCTGACATGATTCTCTAAAGCTAAACTTAATTTTGACAACAGTGCATCCTTGTCATTCTCAATACAAAATGAAAAGGAGAGACTGATGTTAAATTTAGTTTTAAGTTTAGAGAATCACGCTAGAATCGACACCAGTGACTTTTTAAAATAAAAATAAAACATGTAATATTGAAACTGTTAATCATTCCGTTGTTATTCAATAGTTCGGCCTTTGATATGAGACGATCGAGTTAATATTTCCCAATAAAAAAAATGCGAGCTGTCACGGGACGCCTGGCAGTCCCTCTAGCATGACCACCGAAACGGGATATGTTAAAGAGATATATCGGCATTAACTGTCAAACTCCACGGTGGTCATGCTAGAAATGCAGATGTGAAACACTAGCCGGTTTACGATAATTATACTCCGAGAATTGCTCGGGATGCGTGCGATAATAAATGACATAAGTCCTGCCTCGAAGGGCACTGGCGCCATACTGATCGGCGAGTAATTAAGCACTGGTATATATCACATTTTACGTGCGAACGTCGCCACGCCAGAAATCGGTTTTACGTGCGCCAAAAGATGTTTCAGATCAAAAATATTAAATAAAACCTACAACTGTTTTGTACCATAAAATTTAAAACCAATTTCACAGACTTTTTCATACCTATCTCTATCAATATAACGTCCAATTATTTTTTTTCGTAAGGCCTTGGCCAATACCAACCTACGAAAAATATTGTGTTCAAGGCATAGACCTAAAATTTTTTTCACTACTATTCAGACGACTACTTTGACAAAGACAGGCAAAAGCCTCCCTCGACTTCATAATTTAGAAAAGATGACAAATGGTAACGCTGGACATGACAGACATAGATTTATTGACCAAACGCACCAGCACCAGCCAGGTCGTCCGTCCGTCGCTCGTGTCTTCTAACCACAGACTATTAAGGAGATGCCTAATATAAATACTACTCTTTGGGAGATACTACGCATCTTTTGCTTGCAACCCAGTGCATAGAAACCATAGAGCAACACGGAAGGAGGCTCTGAGTACTTAAACCTATTGATATGGCATTGCATTATTTAGGAACAATCAAGGAACTTATATTCTATCTGGAAAGCTTACGAAACAATATTAGATTTCAAAAAATGTGCTCTAACTAGTGTTACTTATAGTACATTTTTGTTTGTCACTTCATAAGAGGGAAAAATGTTCCGAGCAGGACAACGACGAAAGTGGAGTTTGTCCCTTTCTTGCAATTGTCAGTGTTAACAAAAATAATCAAATCGTAGTTTTTATTAATGGTGATCGGGATAATGTGAAAACATTATACAACAATAAAAACTAGAACATACAATTTGAAAGTTAAATTAGAATTTATGTTTGATTGCAGTTAATTTATTGATATCAATGCAACCAAAAATGAGTTTATTTTTATTTAAACGAATAACACATCTAATAAAATTGTTTAAAATGGTAGTCATTAGTAGTAATCTGCATTTATGCATGAGAGCACTTGCGCTGCTTCCAATATACAATATGGCTCCTATTCTTCTGGATTGAAGTCCTATTAATGCTAACTACAAATTATTTTGACCAAATTCTTGTGATTTGCTGGTGCAAAATGATTTTTTTTTATGCACAATGGTGTAAAAGTGAGGCGTATGCTGGGTGTGGAATTTCAATAATAGGTACGTTTTTGACTTTTGTTTACAAATTACATGTGTAGGGTGACAAAACATTTTCGATTCTCTTACTGAAAGTATAATAGGCTAGTTGACCCTTTTTGGAAAAAGGTTTTAAATGGTTAATAAATGTTCTATTAGACCGAAAAAAAATGTATTGTATTTTTTTTAAACCTAGAAAGCTACAAATCTTTAATTTTAAAATAGACTTTTCATGGACATACAAAAACGCTGTCGGCCATTTTAGTCTATAGATTGTCTATGCTATGACGTGAACTGTGGTAAACAAAAACTCGTAAACACGTAGAAAATTACTTTTAACTGAGTTTATAATAAA